GAAAGAGAAAGAGAAAGAGAGAGAGCGAGAGAGAGCGAGAGACAGCACGAGAGAGAGCGAGAGAGAGAGCGAGAGAGAGAGAGAAAGAGAGAGAGAGAGAGAGAGAGAACTTTGTAGAAAACGAAGCGTTTGAGAGAGGCGGGGCATAGAGGACCTACAATAATGTACAGTATTTGAAAAATTATGTGTTTTTTGAACATTAAAGCATGTCAACATATTCTGTTACACCAAATACACAAAATTATGATCTTTAAAAAAGCATCATATGACCCCTTTAAGACATTTTAAGACTTTTTAAGGCCTTATATTAGGAAAACGTTATTTAAGACATTTTAAGACTTAAGGACCCGCGGACACCCTGTTAAATATTCACTTGGTTATCTCTAAAGCTCACATGTATTTGCTCTTGAAATGTAAAACCAGATTCCTTAAAAGGTGTATTTATACTAAAAAGCTGTCTGCTAAGTGACTGATTGACTGAGCAATGAGACAGCTGTCTTTGGTTTTGAACACAGACACAGAGAAAGAAGACGGAGGGAGATTTATTTACTGACACGACTTCAACTTTAAAAATGTATAAATAAACTTTTCAATGGAGTTTTTTTATGTGAATTTGTTATTTAAAATTTTCTTTGCTGTCACTAAAATGTACTAATGTATAAAGGTCAACAGCCACACTGGTCTGTAGATATCTGCATCCGTGCTGTTGATAACTAAAGCAAACTAAAGGCTGGGACACACCAAGCCGACTTCAAAGAACTAGCGGCGATGAAAGCCGACGGTGTTGTCGCCTCGCATCAGCAGCGTCGGGCCAAAAAGCTGCGCTCGAACACACCGCACAGACTACAGCCGACGGCAAACTAACACGTGCGTTCTGCGCATGCGTGAGAGGAATTAACTGTCTATATCAGCAGCTATCAATAGTATAAATTCGTCATTCAAAAGGAGAAACCGAAAAACAAAGATATACGAGATAAAAGCAGATATACGAAACGTAAACAAAGCAGCGCTTGCTTACCATTCTGAATATCAGTAACGTTGATAACTTTAATCATTTTAAGCGGCTCATGTTGTTATGAAAACATTCGCGTATTAGAATGATTGGGAAAAATCAGTAACATTTAAACAGCCTTCTGTCTGTACCGCCTTCATTTACGTGCTTGTTTTCATCACTTTTGCTTTAATTCTCGGGCACTGACTCGTTCGCTAAACTGAACATCCAATCAGAGCTCTCACT